TCTCTTTCACGTGTTGGTTCTGCAGAGGGAGGAGTATGCATGTTCGCACATTTTTCTGTTTTTTTTTTCCCTAGGTTGTAGTCATGATCAGCCATCTATCCTGTAGCACTGAGTCTAGTTTCAACATTCATACTGAGTGTGCCAAATCTCACAGCCTCACCTCCCTTTGATCAGGAAATCCCAGGTCTCTGGACATGAAGCAGGGTCTCATTCTGCCTTTTGTTTTTGGAGCCCGAAATTGCTCTGAGTCCTCTCCCAGCACCACGGCAGTCACACTCTTCAAGAGTACTTGTGTGGGCCTCCTATCGTCCTTCTCTGCAGGTCACAGCCCACCGTGGTGTGCTAGCTAGCTCTCACTGTCCAGGTGTTCTCTGCAGTCCTTTCCTGGCTCCTCCTGCAGCCCTGTCTTCTCTCCTCTCTCCCCTTCAGCTCCCAGCTCCCAGCCCCTTTCTCTCCTCCCTTCCTCCTAGGGATCCTCACCCCCAAAGCAGAAACGTAATTTATGTTTTCTTCAGAATTTCCCTCCATTGTCACGTGGGGGTGCACCACTCTTCTTGCTTTCTTTCTCTTCAGGTTCAAATGTGTCTTCCCTGAAGTGCATGCTCTCCTCTCCTGGGGTGGGGGGTCCCTCTGGGCCAGCTTCTGAGTGACACCTGCCTACACAGTCCCTCCGCAGCCTCCTCTGCCTTCATTGCTTACCCTTCCAGATCCACCCCTGGGGCAACATTCCCCTGGACAGGACAGCACATGCTCCTCTTCCTCTTCTTGCCCAAGGCCATGTTGGCCTCGTCAGTGGCTTCCATGTCGGTTATGAGGATCCTGAGCACCAGAGAAGTTGGTGAGTGGAGCAAGTTAGTCCAAGGTCAGTGGCAGTAGCCGGAGCCTCTTGACAATGAGGACAGGACAATGCCCACTGCATCTCCAGTCCAAGGGGGCAAAAAACAAAGTCCTCTGATATCCAGGAGGTTGTGGGACAACTGGGTCCTGCTCAGTCACAATCAGTCACTCCCATTGTGTATGTGTGTGACCTTCACGGAGGATCTCCCTTCTCACTAATTTAATTGGGGATTTGGAGCCCTTAGCAAATGAAACAGCTACTTATATATAATGGCTCTACATCAGCCTGGAAAGACCACTGCTGCAGACGCACAGGACCAAGCCTTCAGCAATTTCAACGATTCCTTAGGCAGCACACTGTGGGACCGTCTCAGTGCCAAAGCCCTCCAGAGATCCCTTGTGACTAAGACAAAGCGGGTGTTTTGATGGGTTTAGTCAAAGCCCTGGGCTGGTGGAAGGCAAAAGAAACAGCCTCCAACATAAATAATGACTAAAACACAGAGGCCGAGACCCATTGAATCTGCAGGAAACAGGCAGCATCAACACCCCCAAAACTACAGGTTATTTATTTATTTATTTATAATCTTTACCCCAGGATATGTTTATTGATTTTAGAGAAAGAGGATAGGGGAGAGAGGGAAGCATCAATGTGAAAGAGAAACATTGATCATTTGCCTCCCATATGTGCCCTGCCTAGGCATCGAACTTGCAACCTTTCAGTGCATGAGATGACACTCCAACCAACTGAACCACCCAGTCAGGGCTGCCGGTCCTTTTGGACACAGGATCGTCCATGTACTTGAGCCTCTGCTTAGAAAGTGGGGGGTGTGGAATACAGATGAAGCCTCCCAGCAACTGGCCAAGATCCAGTAGATGGGCATCACAATCTTGACTATTTCTCTGACATGGGACAGGACACCTCTGGGTGAGACAAGAGTAACAGCAAGTTTTCTTGGTCCCTTCTGCTATTACCAGCATTGAGATGGCAGGAACTGAGGATCTCAAGGAATCACCTTCTGCCCGAGAACAAAGAGCTACTTGAAAGGAATCACACGACATGAAGGGCTGTTTGAAATGCACTGCCTAGGAAAAAGGGGCCTAGAAATGCAGGAGGTTTAATAAATGGCTCACCCATTCAGAAACAGATCCTCTGAATGAGGCAGCAGAATATTGAGTTGTTCAACTGAAAACACATATTTCAGAGTCAGGTTGACCTGGGTTCAAATTCTGCCTCCACCTCCTCCTAGCTAAGCATCGTCAACTGATCACCCACCCAGAGAGGGGTGAGGATGTGTGCTCACTTCGGCAAGCCTCAGTCATGCACAAACACTAAATCCCTCCATCCATTCATTCTTTTATTAATGGCTCTTCCTTGCTGAGACTATATTCTCTTTGGTCTTCAGACTCAATACTGGGTTTTACCATTAATTATTTTTGCAAAGGCCTCACAGAATAAGGATTTCACTTTCCGGGAATATAGGAGGCGATCTTTTCAAGCCTCTATTGGCAATTTCCCAGAACACCAAGCACAGTGAGGAGTAGGTACAAGCCTCAGAGTAAACACAGCTGGAGTCCATTGGATCTGCAGGCCTAATTGGTCATGACCTTCACCAGTCACCTGGTCACTGTCATTTTCCTGCCCACAGGGTACCCTTCCATGAGGAGGACTGATGTCAGAGTGCAACAAGATCAGAGCATCCCAGTTCCCATCTGTTGCTAACTAAATTCCAGGGGTTCTGTTTCCAATATTTCTTGCCAAGTAACAAGCCTCTCCAAAACCTACTGGATTACACCAACGACCATTTTCTTTTCTTCATGATTCAGTGTGTTGCCAGAGCTTGGTTGGGAGCCCTTCTGCCTCACATGGCATCAGTTGGATGCTTAAGTGGGCTGGGACATCCAAGAGGGCGCGCTCACATGTCTGGAGCTTGGCAGGCGTGGCTGGAGGCCTGGGGCAGCTGGGTCTCTCTCTTCTGTGTCGTCTCAGGGCTCTCTCTTCACAGGGCCTCATTGTGGGGTCCCTCTGGCAGGGGAGCCAGACTTTCTCAGATGGTGGTGTAGAGCTCCCCAAAGGGCAAGAGCAGAAGCTACCAGGCCTTCTTTTGTTACAAGTCCAGAAACGACAGCGCCACTTCTCCATATTCTGTTGCTTAAAACAAGTCACAGACCATTGCAGGTTCATCACGGGAGGGGACTGCACAAGGGCGGGACTCCCAGGGGGTGGGGTTCATTGGGGACCACATTTGGAGAATAGCTGCCAGGGCTCTCTACCTGGGGCTTCATAACGATATGAGAGAATGAACCATGGAGTGCACCAGCGTCTGCTTATTTGACAGAAAACTTGGGCAAAACAAAGTAAAAGTTATACCAATGCTAGGGAGTGGGATTCTGGCATTAATTCTACTATCTCCACATTGAGGAGCTGGAGAATTTACTAATCAGGCATGTTTAAGTAAATGTCTCGTCTCTGTCCCTTTGGAGACATTTCGGTCATCTTCTTGGCATGTGTCATCTGCTGAGCTCTGTGATTCACACGTCTTGCTGTAGTTATGTATTGCTTGCCTTCCAGGGAATGGAATCTCACTCTTCCTTTGTCCAAAGTTGGTCATTTACAGTATTTCTGCCAACCATCTCCATAGCCCCAGATTCAGTTGTTCCTAATGGCTCCTGCATGAGGGTGGAAACTGAAGGCAGAGTGTTTTCCTCCAACGTGCACTCTGGAACAGTACCTTGTGCATAAAATTTTCCCTTCCTGTGATGATCTTCAATTTTGGACCTCTTTGTAACCAAGCAGTTGGAGGGTTTCATGGTAGGCCCTGGATTTCTGCCAAAGGAATGACTTTCAGCTTTTGTAAAACATGAAGAGGAGCCAACATAGCAGTATCTGGTGTGTGGTAGATGCTCAATGATGTTTGTGAGTGAAATGATAAATGTTATAATAATTACCTTTTGCAAAGGACCCAGAACACTGTTTCAGTAGCTGTTAGTTACCATTTTAGCATCTGCGCCATCCCCTTTTCAAAAGTTGTATTTATTATTTATCGAGGTATAATTTATATATAATATTATATTAGTTTCAGGTGGACAATGGTATGATTTGATAATTGCTTATGTTGCAAAATGATCACCACAATAAGTTTAGTTAACATCCATCATCGTTCCTGTCCAGTTCAAGTTCACTGTCAGCCTATTTTATTTGCAGTTTTCTAGAGGGTCAGGATCAGGGGACAGATTAATTTGTAATTCATCCTTATAGGTGAAACTGTCCCCTTTCATCTACCACACTATCAGAAACAGAAATTTAGATCTTGAAATTTTACTAAAAGTTTTCTTTTGGTAAACGGCAACGTCATCTGAGGCGTGGTGGCCCTCAGTCATCAGTGCCTAGAGAGACTTTCAGGCACAGCAGTGAAGAGACAGTTCCCAATTTCTGCTAGTCACTCTCAGTGCCCATCCCCAATGGAAGGCAAGTCACTCTCTTAGGGTGGAAGTTGCCTGGGTGGCCACCTTGCATACAGCTCTGTTAATGGACACAAGTTCTTCCATTATCCACCTTTGTGTGGCTTGGCAGGGGTCTGGGCCATTTTCTCCTGCATTGTGAGCCTGGCTCCTCTCTGCCTTTCTCCCCATCTGGTCAGTGGCCCAGTTGAAAATCCTCTTTCTCCTCAGCTATTCCAGCTCCTTCTGGGAGCCTGGGCCACAGCACCCCTCAAAGACTCCCCTCCCCAGGCCTTCCCAGCCCCAGAAACCATCATGAACAAGTGGCGCGTCCCAGGAGTTGGCTCCTGTTCTGGCCTTTGACCTGTTCATGTTCTCCTAATCTCAGTCTGTTCAAGAATTATATCTACGGTCCCACCCAGGTAGCCTTTTGTTTTTCCTTCTTTCTTCCTCTTAGCCTTCTTTCTTCCATGTTCTTGTCCATGAGTTTTACTCCAGGCCCTATTATTGTACATACAGTGACACGGCTGCATCTGCCTTCATAACAACTGCAATCCCACCCCAAGTTTCTCCCATGGCGGATCAGCTCTTGGGTCCACAGAACCAAATGTGAGTAGCACGCAGTGAGGACCAATCCAGCCTCTTCATCACCTATTGTTTTCCTTCTAGTCCCAGAGGGCCAGAAGCAAACCTGGAGGTGAGACCTGAGGAGAGCCGGAACCACGATGACCTTGTGCACTACGGAGCAGCAGACCCCAGTCCCGGAAAGCCCGCCGTCAACGCAGAGGAGGGAGGTGGTGGGCCCCAAATCTGCCGTGTATGTGGGGACAAGGCCACTGGCTATCATTTCAATGTCATGACATGTGAAGGATGCAAAGGCTTCTTCAGGTAGAGTAACCTATCAACCTTCCCCCACGCACCACCCCTAACACACGGGGCCACATCTAACTGGGGTTCTGCCATCAGCCCCCTGGACACCAGGGCCTCAGCCCGACCTGTCTCCCTGGTCCAGAGAGAGGGCCAGTGGCCCGTTAGGCTCATAATTAGTCTCAGGAGAGCCATTTACACCACAGAGAAATCCTCATCTTCTGTTTCCCTACCTGAGGAAGATCTTCTTCTATTAAGATACCCTTTGTTTCTCCACATGTTCTGAATAAAATAGAAATCCAGTCTGTAAAAGAAGAAAGAATTTGAAAATCCCAAATGCAAGTGTTCAAATCAGTCTTAGAGTGTATTTTTTAAGAATGGCATAAAATAAATGAAGACAAGACAAGCTCACCTAGAAACAGGCAAATAGGGAGGCCTAAAAATGAAAGACTAAAAAGTCCCAGCTCACAGCAAGACAGGCCCAGACAGAGGGGCTCACGTTGCCCAGCCAAAGAAAGAGAGAGCTCAGGGCAGTGTCGGACCAGGGGAGCAGAAGCAGACCAGAGAAGGAGGGGAGTGGAGGAAGGGGAGTGTGAGGAAGGGCTCTTTCCTAGCCGGCCCTCATGGCGGGCTGGCTGTGCTGAGGGCAAGTCCTACCTCCAGGGTCACACTTGGGACCCTCATGCATTGTCAGGACACCAGACTGATGGAACCCTCTGAAGAGTTTTTTTTTTTTCTGGAGGCTGGACAAGGAAATGGAAACAAACCCTAGAGCCAGGGCTCCCACACACTGTTCTAGACTCTAGAGCCTAGAGCCCCAGAGACAGGCTGCCATCAGCATTTCATGGGTGGGGGGCCAGACCCACAGGAGGGCTTTCAGGTGGGCATCAGACCAGGGAGGCACTGCAGCAGGTCAGTGCCCCTCTACACCCCCCCACCCCCCGCTGAGTGAACCCCACCCCCTGCTGTGGACTACTTGAGCTATTCTCAGGTCTCCACGGGGTTAGGTGAGCTTAGGGCATTCTAAGACACCCATGTTCTGGTGGGAAACGAACATGCATGTTGTGTGGATTATAACAGAGGTCAGACCAGCCACAGTGTCAGGCTGCCTTCAGTTACAGGTGACAGAACCCTCCACTCAAAGGGGTTTATCAATAAGGAAAATATGCTACTTCTCTTAACTGCAAGTCCAGAGGCCAAATTCAGGGTTGGTGTGATCATCAGCTCAGTTCTTTCCGTTTTTCTTTTCTCCCACCCAACAGGAGGGCTCTGTCCTCAGTCTGAGCTCAGTCTGACCCACAGTGCCTGGGCCATGGGCAGTAACCACAGCGTTCAGCCTAGGAACAGTCTCTTCCTCTCTATGGGAGCAAGGAAGCCTTTTCCAGAGGCGCCCTCATTCCACATCACCTAGGATTGAGCACCAGGCTCCTCCTGAACTAGTCACTCACAGAAGAGTGTCCCTGAGCTAGGCATATGCCAACAGGGCCACATGGAGGAGGGTGGACCCCTAAGTCGGATCTGATGCTGCCTGCAGCATCTGTGTGGAATGCCTTGGGGTGTGGGGCCCTCTGCTCTCCCCACCTGTTCTGGGACCCACAGAGCAGACAGCACACTGTAGTGGGACAAGCTTGCATTCTGGCGTCAGTCAGACATAGATTCAAATTTCACCTTGTCCCTTGCCCAAAGGACCGCTAGCACAGCGATGTGTCTTTGACTCCATTTCTGCACCTGTGCCAGGCAGGAGATACAATGTATTTTCTAGAGTCATGAGAACTAAATCTACGAAGCTCTGAGAAACACCTAGCCCAGCACCTGACCCATAGCATGCTGTTAATAAACCTGAGTGCCTTCTCCCCTCTGCCTTTCTGGGTGTTCTGGGGTAGGATCAGGGGTCTCTTACCCAGACCAGCAGGGGAGGCAAAAGAGAGGGGGTGTTGCTTGTGAAGCACCTGCCCCCCAGGCTAGTCACTGGCCTGACCTGCCGGTCACCTGATTCTGAGTGTGGCTCAGCCTCCCGTTCAGCCCCTGGGCCCAGCCTGTCCCCATGCCCCTCACCAGCTTTCCCTCATTTTCCACATTTCCCTCATGTTCCACACTGCGGGACCAGAACCAGAAGCTAGGGCCAGGGAAGAATTTTTTTCTTTCTATTCTGCTGTGATGGGTGGGAGGATAAATTTACAACCCAGTGGCTAGGTCTTTTGTGGGAAGTTCGGGATGCCTGGGCTGTGGGGAGAGGGCGGCTGTGCTGGGGCCTCTGGAGGGCATTGACCCTGTCATCCCCCCACCTGGCACAGCTGTGCAAGTACGAGTGGGGGCATTAACCGCACACTTCACTATTACAGGGCTGTGAGCTTCTTTGCTCCATAAGGCCAATCAGGGGAAGGCAACTTTCCAATATGGGGAAGCCACTGCCTAGTGGGGTAGAAAGCCTCCCAACAGTTACTCCTCCTCTAGCTGCCTCTGACCCCTGAATCTAGAGTGGGTGCTTCTTATGTTTCTTAGGCTTCTGGGATCAGGTTTCTTCTGGCTCCACTGTCTAAGAAGGAGAAATCCAAGAAGAGACCACCTCTACATATGCCAAGATCCTCCTCTGGGATACCCAGGGACAAGGACAGAAGAGAAGGGTTCGAGGGTGTGGGAGGGCCCTGGGCCTGGGGCCTGGAGCAGAAGCATCCCAGACAGTGGCCCAGGGCTGTCACAAGGGCATGTTGAAAGCAAGTGTGAACATAGCAGGAAAGATTTTCACCTGCTTCCCTCCTCCAGTGACCTCTGGTCCTTGAGGAAAGCCCAGGCCAGCCAGAAGACTGAAAAGCCCCCTCCTCTCCTTTCCTATGAATCTGACCCAAATCAGAGGCAAAGGCGGGCCCACAGAGGGTGTGTCTAGTGTCCCTGGTATTGGGACAGGACAGGGAGAAAGAGAGGTGGGGCCTGGAGCTCCCTGGCCTGTTCTCCGTGGCCTACCTTTTGCTCTCTGTTCTCTCACAGGAGGGCCATGAAACGGAATGCCCGGCTGAGGTGCCCCTTCCGGAAGGGCACCTGCGAGATCACCCAGACAACCCGGCGGCAATGCCAGGCCTGCCGCTTGCGCAAGTGCCTGGAGAGCGGCATGAAGAAGGAGAGTGAGTATCGGGATGTGCCCTGAGCGGGGGTGGAGCTGGGTGCACGGGCACTGTGAGCCTGGGGCCCAGCAGGAACGAGCCTGGGCGATGTGTATGCGCAGGTGTGCAGATGTGCACAGGAATGTGTGAGCATGTGCACAGGTGCTTGTGGCAGCTGTGGCCTGCGTGCAACAGGCAGGCACATGGAGCAGAGCTTGCAGCAGGCACCACTGAGGTCCATCCCAGGGATGTCACAGATGGAGGGTAACTTCATCCCCTGCTCTGGGTGTGTGGGGGTCTTGGACCAGAGTCATGCCCGCCCCTCTGTCATCTGAGGTGCCCTTGTGATTATCTTCGTCCCCTTTAAAATTGTCCTTATGGTGTTTTAGCTGAATTGGGGGAAGTGAATTTGGGATAGAGGGGCCAGAGACACATGGTGTGATATGACCCCTAACCTGCCAGCAGCTAGCGACCATTGGCTGTCCCAGATGGCGTATCCTACACAGGGGCTGTTTGCAGACAGGTGACACAGGATGCTTTTTCATTCTACCTGTCAAGCTTTGGAATAATTGTATTCCCGGGTCACTCTGAGATGAACGTCCATGGGGGAAAGACTGAGAGCTCCCAGCGCATATTTGTCTCCATCAATTACAGATTGGGCAGCCTCTTTCAGGAGCTAAGTTGCCCGGGCACGTGAGCAGAGAGCCTTCCCTGTAGACCAGCCGAGTGGGAGTCCTTCTCCCACTCTCCCTGCTGTTCCCCCAAAGAACACCCACAGCTTCACTTTGCACACACAAGTGGGCTCCAGAAATCCACAGGAGACCCTAAAGCTCCAGGCTACTTAGGAGGTGGTTGGGTTGATATTTCTTTTTTTTTTTAAAGATTTTATTTATTTTTTTTTAGAGAAGGAAGGGAGGGAGAAAGAGAGAGAGAGAGAGAAACATCAATGTGCGGTTGCTGGGGGTCATGGCCTGCAACCTAGGCATGTGCCCTGACTGGGAATCGAACCTGCGACACTTTGGTTCGCAGCCCGCACTCAATCCACTGAGCTATGCCTGCCAGGGCTGGGTTGATATTTCTTGCTAAGCAGTAGCCCCAGTTTTCCAAGAGCTTGGGGACCCAGAGAACTTGGAGGACTTCAAGGGCTCTTGTTGGTGTCTATGCACTAGACAGGAATGTACGCTATCAGGCGGCACTTCCTGAACACTTACCAACTCCAGGGTGTGTCTGTGTGAATATATAGGGGTTGGCCAAAGTAGGTTTACAGTTGTGAGTATACAGATCACAACTGTATTCTTGGCATACAGAATACCAAGAATATTGGGTATTCTTGAGTATATTCTTATATTCTTATTTATTATTGTATTATTAATAGAACTGTAAATCTGCTCTTGCTCACCACTATGTATATTCAATGTTTATGCATACATATGTGTGCGTGTGGCTGTGGGTGTGTATATGTATATACCTCCTATGTAACATAGCCAGGAGCCACATTAGGTGCTTCCCATGCACGGTCCCATTGTGACAGCAGTAGGAGCTCAGCCGTTGGAGTTGAGGCTGTCACTCCAGATTACAAAGAAGGAAACTGAAGGCAGGAGAGGTTAAGGAGTTTGTTCGAGGTCACCGCTGTCCCTCACGTCTAGCACCTTTCAATTCTGAAGCCCAAGCTCTTCCCACAACTGTTCCACAAAGTTGTCAAAAACCCCACAGCTGTGGGGAGCACACCAGCTGCACTCTTCGCTCTGTCCTCACCTTGGTGTTCCTCCAGAGGAGCCCATAGTCTTCATGAGTCCAGAGAAGAGTGGGTTTCCTGCTGACGGCACTTCCCCTGCTGCTGCCCGTGGGATTAAGAAGGGAGGCCTAGCTCCTCACAGGTACCTGAGCCTGCGCCTGGCTGTCCCCGCAGTGATCATGTCTGATGCAGCCGTGGAGCAGAGACGGGCCTTGATCAGGAGGAAGAAGCGAGAACAGACTGGGATGCAGCCCCCGGGAGCCAAGGGTCTGACTGAAGAGCAGCGGACAATGATCAGGGAGCTGATGGACGCGCAGATGAAAACCTTCGACATCACCTTCTCCCATTTCAAGGATTTCCGGGTACGAAGTTTTAGAGGTGGCTCAGCAGCTATGCCAGCTCCTCACAACCCCAATCTATCCCCAGGGACCCTGAAAGAGTGGCCCTGGACACCAGCAGCAGTGGTAGCTGGGGACTTGTTAGAACTTGTCAGAAATGAGGAGTCTCAGATCGCCCCAGACCTCCAAACCAGAAACTCTGAGGACGGGCCCAGCAGTCTATATTTAGACAAGGCCCCTGTAGATGATTCTGGTGCCTACTCCAGTTTGAGAATCTTTGCTTTCTCCTTCCAGAACAGGTGGGATTTGGGTCTGAGCCATAAATGGAGTCTTGGCGGCTGAGTTGCCCCAGAATTGCTGGCATTCAGGACTTCAGAAAAACATGGGCAGGGCCTATTGTGGGTGTGACAGGTGTCAACTGGTTTTACTGATTCAAGAGACATTAGTGATCTCCACACTGTCAACTACCTCTGGCACCTGTGTCCTTCCCCCCACCCCGCTGTGTGTGCAGTATTTGGGTTGATCTGCCCAGTGCAGAGAACTGGTAGCCAGTGGCCCCAGAGATCTGTTTTTTTCCATATGAAGACCCCAGACCCTTCTCTCTGAGTTTCCCAAGGGCAAGGTCAGGGATGCTTGGGACACACCCATGGGTATAGGTCCCCTCGCCTTCCTCGGGGCAGGGAGAAACCCATGTCTGACCAGGCAGGGGTGTGAGAGAACACTAATTCACAGATCCAGAAAGTGCACCACCTGATAGGAGCCCTGAGAGAAGAAGCAAGTGCTGTGTGTGTGTGTGCGCACGCGTGTGTGTGCATGTGTGTATGTACGCCTATAGTCGTGCATCCTCTCATGCCTATTGCTGTGGGTGCCCATCATTGGCCTGTGCGGGAACTTGATTGGGAGAATACATGCTGTCTGTCCTCTCCTTTCTCCGCTCCCCACTCTGTTCCAGCTGCCGGAGGTGCTCAGCAGTGGCTATGAGATCCCAGAATCTCTGCAGACTCCATCGGTGGAAGAAGCTACCAAGTGGAGCCAGATTAGAGAAGATCTGTGCTCATTGAAGGTCTCTCTGAAGCTGCGGGGGGAGGATGGCAGCATCTGGAACTACAAACCCCCAGTGGCAGCCAGTGGGAAAGAAATCTTTTCCCTGCTTCCTCACATGGCTGACATGTCAACCTACATGTTCAAAGGAATCATCAACTTTGCCAAAGTCATTTCCCACTTCAGGTAAGATGTGGGGGCTGGTGGACGGGTATGGAAAAGAGCAGAAAGCAGCCAGCAGGTTTAAAGTTCTGAGACAGATGCCTCTGAAGTTGGGGGACGCTGGTGCCCAAAGACCCTCCTTTATCTCTGCCCCTGCCCCGGGCACCTGCCACTGTGGGGGATGGAGCCCTCGCTGCATGTCTCCTTAGCTGTGGGACTGTGGGCCTGCCATCCGGTCTCACTGTGTCTCAGCCTCCTCATCTCCTGGAAGGGAGCTAACAAGGCCTACTTGCTGAGCTGTCATCTGAAATAAGAAAACATCTGCAGAGCATCCAGCTCAGACATGATGGACATTCAGATTCCCTCCCCCATTTCTCCCGAAAAGGGCAGGAATTGTAAGTTGACAGTTCCAGTTCAAAGAAAGAGGTGGAAGGAAAGGGAAGAAAGTCCAGAGGGAGAAGGAGAGAGACAGGCACGGACGCTGGGTCCGCAACAGTCGGCCGCCAAAAGATGGTTGGGAGGGCCATGTGGAGGAGGGCAGTCCCGAGAACCAAAGGGCTGGGACTCCCCCAAGCTAGGTGTGGAGGCAACAACCATGGGGTTGTGAGGTGGGGAGAAAACTGGAATCCTCCTGGTGTGGCGGCAAACGCCGCCCCACAATATGTAATCTGTTGGAGCTGGGGACAGTGCTGGGCACACCAGCCCTGGGGTTGGCCACCTGGTCTGGTCAGGTGGAGCTGAATAACACACATGAGGGGCAGAAGGGCAGGTTATATTCCAGGAGCCCATAGGATCTCCTGTGGCCCTGGGGGTGACAGATAGGTGAAGGGTGGCCACCGGCTAGGGTAGAATTCAGATCCTGGCAAAGTAGGTCAAAGGAGCAGGGACAACGGCCTGCTTACACTGTGGACCTTGATGTTCCTCACTGACATCTGCTGACCCACAGGATGGGAGGCCACTCGTGGCCACAGTTTTAAGCACAACCACCCAGGAGGCAGGCATTGCTCTCACTGTCACTGTCAGATAGAAAACTGAGGCTCATTGAGGCAAAGGAACTTACACAGGGCTGCAGTCCATCAGAGAGACCAGATTGGGAAGCATGGATGCAGAGTTCACAGCCACTACCTGCAGGTCCAGGGCCAGGTGCTGGGGAATCCAGAAGAGTAAGGTCAATTACACAGCTCTGTATAATGGACCTGAAAGTGTGGGGTGTGAGGAAAACAAGGGACTGAATTCCCGAGAGGAGCAAAGCCAGGGGGAGGAACATTAGAGACAGCCACTGTGGCTACCTTGGATCAAGGCATCCAGGCTGCTGGAGAGAAACAGCAGAAATATGAAGTCCAGAACAGACTGCAGAGAGCAGACATCCCCGCAGCACAGAACTCATGCCAAAGGAGTGGCAGCAGCAGGACTCTGGAAGAAAGACTTCTAGGAGGCACAAAGACAGCTTGGCCTGAAGGACTAGTAGTGTTTATTTAAGTGAAGATAAAGGGGCCATTATTCCAAGTGGGGAAACTGAAGCAGAAAGTATGAAGCAAGAGAGCAGGAGCCAAGGCCTCAGCTGTGGGTCAGTGCCTTGCAGGGCGTTGGAGCGGATGGGGCCGGGCTGTAAGGGACACCAAGCTCCATTGGTGGGGGGGTCTTTGAAGGCAGCAAGAGACTAGAGGAAGGTGGCAGGGCGGGGCAATCTGCTTGGCTGGATTGTGAGGGGCAGAGCTTAGAGGCAATCAAAAGCAACTGCAAAAATCCTCAGGGGTATGAGCCCATCCTATCTCCTCCCTCCCTTTCACCCAGTTTCTGGATTATGGGAGTGGGTGCTGGCCTGTGGCAGCTTCCCAGAAGCTGGCTCCCCTCCTATCCTTGCTACCAGGGACCTGCCCATCGAGGACCAGATCTCGCTGCTGAAGGGGGCTGCCTTTGAGTTGTGCCAACTGAGATTCAACACGGTGTTCAATGCAGAGACGGGGACCTGGGAGTGTGGCCGACTGTCTTACTGCTTGGAAGACCCTGCAGGTGCCCAAGAGCTACCTGCTGCCCTGGCAGAAGGAGGGAAACAACTGGGAGGGAAGGGAGGAGCTGTGCCAGGATGTGCATGTCCTCAGACTGCAGGGCAGAAGGCTGGGCGATGGAAGAATGACTTTGGTCAGGGAACTCTGGGGTTTGGGTCTACTTCCTGACTGGTTTTCCCCTCACCCTGCACCCACCCATAGGTGGCTTTCAGCAGCTTCTGCTGGAGCCCGTGCTGAAGTTCCACTACATGCTGAAGAAGCTGCAGCTGCACAAGGAGGAGTATGTGCTGATGCAGGCCATCTCCCTCTTCTCTCCAGGTGAGGCTTCTGCCTGGCTGGCCCTCCAGGCCTCCCTGCACCCAGGTTTGCTCACAGCCCTTCAGCTTTACCTGCGGGTGGCGGGGAGGCAGTAGCCCTCCTCCACCATCCCCAGGCGAGATCCTAACAAATAGCTTTGTCCCCTCACACTGCACAGACAGGATGGGGACTCCAGCTGATTTTTCCTTGGGTGGGTGGGCCACACAGAACACTCGTGGTGCTGCACTCATTTCTCTGCCTGGGTGTCTTGGCTCTGGAAGGTGGGTGCCAGACAGTTTGCCCTCTCTGGGCCAGACTGAGCTTGTCTTTGTCCCCATGGCCTTGCTGGCACCACACTGCCTTTCCCTTTCTACCAGACCGCCCAGGTGTGGAGCAGCGCAGTGTGGTGGACCAGCTGCAGGAGCGATTTGCCATTGCCCTGAAGGCCTACATCGAGTGCAATCGTCCCCAGCCTGGCCACCGGTGAGCAGCAAGCAGGGAGGATGTGAGGGGGTTCCCCTAGCAGCCCTGCCCTCCACCCCCACCTCCCCGACCCTATCTTGGGTCTCTTTGGGAGAGCATACTGGGGACACTCATGGGGTGAGTTTTGATTGCCAGGGCTTTGGGGCCCCGTTCTGTGACCTCCACTGAGGCTTCCTGCCCGGTCAGCCTGAGCTCCAGCCCAACAATGGAGAAATCTGAAAAGGGCCCGAGGCCATGCCCAGCTGACAGGATACTGCTCCCCGAGGCTCAGCTCCTGTCTGCTTAGGGCCTTCCCGTCTGTCATCAAGGGATGGGAACATCCAGGCAGTCTCCTGAGGCCCCCATAGGGTCTTCTAGCAATAGCCAGCAATACCATGACAATAATAAAGCTAATGTTAACCATAATGATGATAATAGTAAATCTATAATAGCTATCATTTATTGAGAAGTGCCAGCCCTGGTACCAAGCAGTTTACATGTATTATCACTGTTAGTCTTGAAAACAGCCCTGCCAAATGGGTGCTACCACCATCTGCAGGAAACTGGACGCTCAGGGTGGCTGTCCCAGGTTCCACAGTCAAACAGGTGGGATCTGGAGGTAGACCAGGCAGACCAAGTCCAAGGGCACACTCCTGAACACTGCCCAACCACCTCCTAGAACAAAGACAAGTAAATGGGGCAGGAAACTCCTTAGTTTGTTCACCCACAACCCGAAGGAAGAAGGCTGCTAAGGGCTTGGCTGGACAGAGGCTTCCATGCCTTCACTGGGCCTCAGCAGTCCACAGGTTTCAGCCACGAGGCCAGCACTGTGTATGCAAGTCCTTATTCAGCCTGCTCCAGTGGTCTTTTGAGCTCAGAATCTTGGGAGGCCATAATGTCTGTGTCTTCCTTTGCTCAGTTGTCCCCTGTATGGAGCTGGGAGGTGTCATGGGGAAACTGAGGCACAAGATGTCTCAGTCACTATATTCCGAGCTAGATCCAGAAAGGATAGCAGCTTGCAGCCCCTGATTCCACAACCACTGCCCTCGGCCCTCATCCCGGCCCTCAGCCCAGGCTGTGACTCCCTCCTGAAACTGACCTGTGCACTTGGTGCCTGCGATGACTGGGTGTTCCCACGGAAATCTCCGTGTACAAGGACTCAAGGCCAGAGGCTGAGGTGCAAGTTGAAGGGAGGGGTGCAGGTCCACACCTTAAGTCCCCCAGGCTATTCTGTCCTCATCCACAAGCTGAAAAAAATGCTTAAGGAATTCAACTTTGACTTTCTCAGTCGAATTTTGGTTGACCCGAAGTGTTCTGAGATCACAGCCCCCAAACTTGTGCAACTTCAGAGTGGTCCAGGGATGGGTGGGTAGGGGTGAGGGTGGGCTGTCCCCCAACCTTTGCTCTGGCTGGTCGGCAGGTTCCTGTTCCTGAAGATCATGGCTATGCTCACCGAGCTTCGCAGCATCAATGCCCAGCACACCCAGCGGCTGCTGCGCATCCACGACATACACCCCTTCGCCACCCCCCTCATGCAGGAATTGTTCAGCATCTCGGAGAGCTGAGCGGCTGCCCCATGGGTGCACCTCTGTGGCGCAGCCAGAGCCAAAGCCCTGGGGGCTGCCACTACTGGGGCTAGACAGATGGACGCTGCTGAGATCAGACCAGGCCCTACAGATCCTGCCTTCTCGGGAACTCACGACAGCTCTGACGATGCTGGCTAGAATTCCTCAGGAGGGGCACATGGGCCCCCAGCCCCAGCCCCCAGCTCAGTCTGTGGGAGCAAAGCCATTGACCCTCATAGGGAGAGTGCATTGGCCCAGAGGTCATGTCTATCAAGAGAGGTGGCCACTGCCCCCTTAGAAAAGGCCCTGTGGTCTGGGGATTTAGTGTCATGGTAGGAGAGCAGAAAGGATGACTGGAGCTGGGCCATCTGAGGGGTCTGTGCCCACACCCAAGTTCATTAGCTTCTTGGGCTTTTTCACGGCTATTTCTAGTTCTCTTGTGTCCTACTTTCCACTCACTCTCAACTGCAGCCCCTGTCCTGAGTTGCTTGGTGAGTTCCAGGCCTGTGTTGATCAGCAGGTATATTAGTGTCTATGCGAATATTCTAGAGAGAAGCCAGAGAGCTTGCACAAATGTCAGAAGCTTGTTGTGACCATTCTGTGTCCACTCTTCCCTCCTGTATCTCTGCATCCATCCAAACATTAAGTACCAACACGATGTGACCTGCTGTGTGATATACATGCTTACCAGATATGGATTCTGACCTTGGCTAGTTTATACTCCGGTAAAGAAAACAAAGCAGAAACACAAGTAACTGATCAAAAGGAGAAGTGACAAGTGATGTAAGAAATTTCTTTGTGCGGATGTAAGCTATGCTAGGGTACTGGGTGCACCTGAGGACTCAAGCAAGGGACCCCTGGAACACATGAGGGTACATGTGTGTGACTTGGTGAAGGTCTGCTCCACATTTGAACAGGGGCTTGGGTTTGCTCCTGAGGCTGGGACACTGGGGCGCGGTGACAGGCTACGCCGACAGGCAGTTAATAAATGTGTTAGATGTGTGTGTAACGTTATGTTCCTGCTTACAAATCCATTATCAATGCTCAAGAGTATGAAAGTGTCTGCTTTCTTTATAGCTATTTCGAGTAAAAATGTTTTTGCTTTTTTTTGGTTAATTACACTTTAACTAATTTTACATATGCATTCCACCCCTAAGGCTTAGTAAGCAAATATAATTCTGAGTCTAATGTCAAATCAAGGCCTGACGACTTAAATAATTAACTTTTGGCTAGAGATTTGAAACTTTTTTTCTGACTTCTCTTCTGGGGAAAATAAACACGTGGGGTAGGAAAATAGAAATCTCATGCATATAATGTATGAATTTTTATTTCCATTTTTTACTACTTATTTTACTATTGTCCTTTACATATCTGAAGACTGTTGGTGCAAGAACATAAAAATGCATGAACTTGGTTTTCTCATAAAATGATTGTTCCATATAAAAATGTTATATATTTATACCATAATTAAACATGTAGTAATTGAACTAATTTCAAAAGTCTAATACATTGATGCAAATGAAGGTACAAGTTAACTGAATTTTAAGGAACAGATACTTGCTTAGCCTTTACCATTTTACGAGAAGTTGACCAAACTTTAAGAACAGAAGAAATTTACACTATACATCAAAGTGAGCAAATCTATTTCCTCCATTCCTTTCAGATTTACCACCTTCTTCTGCATGAAGATTTAGAACACACTCATTTTTAGAAAGAAATAAAGGGGAAGAAAGCTTCTCTTTGCAAATACAATGAATACAGCTTTTGCTCCCAGGAATTTGTCTTTTGGAAATGTAACTGTCATTCAACTGCATTAATAAATCACATACATCTCCCCTTCCTTTTTGGGATAATTTTGAGTGTGCTAGTCACTCAAATGTATGCTACAGTAAAGTGAGGGCAAGCTGTGATTAAGATGGGGTTAAACGCTCATCTCCCAGTACTGAATTTAAAAACACCTGGGCAGTTCCCCAAATGTTGACTTGATATGTACACATGGCATATATATTATAAAAACAAAGTGTAGTCCAAGTGTAGTTAAAATTCAAGGTTAGATGCACCAAAGAGGTCACACAGGCTACTTCTTTGCAGTTTTTCGATCTGGAGTTCCTAGGCCTGGGAGCCAGGTTCAGATTTCCTAACCTCAAACATTTGGATTTCCCTATTACTCCTCCCACCCAGCTTTGAGAATGCAGCGCTGTGTTAGTTTCTAGGCGTCCTGGCAGCCTCTGTTCTTTTTCTAGGCCTTGCTTCAGGTGAGGATGAAGTCAGCCCCCAAAGCTCAGGAGAAAAGACCTCCTAAGTAAGCTACTCTTTACCTTCTGGCTCCATTAGTTGGAGCCACTCAGCAGCCAATCCCTACCTGGCCCAGGGTGGCTTCTCCTTTCTGGAGAAAAGAGGATATAAAGAGAAACATCCATTTGATTGATCATCCTTTTTCAGCTCTGACAATTCGTGGGCCTCATCCTTCCATTGTCCACAACACTTCAGCTTTTCCCTGGGCCTGTTCCTGTAACACACGCACAGCTCTCCTAAATCTGAAGGTGCTAGTGGGCAAGTGAACTGTTCCTACACCTAGGGACTGGGTGACCACCATGTCACTTTTGTTCACTTCCTCTCACCAGCTTCTCCTCGAAGGGATTCTGCACCCTGGCAGCTCTCTTTCCTAACTACCCTTTTAGAATACCTAAAATGGCATCCACTGTCACTGTTCCCCTGAAATGTGATTCCAAAGGGCTGGAAAGGCATCCCTCCAAGATTTTCAGTTAAAGGGGTATCTTCCTCAACCCCCCATTCAAACAGGGTAGGAAAGATATTAGTGAATCCCCAACACATACACTTTAATGCCATCAAGAGGCCAGCCCATCCCACAAGTGACATAACTCCCCTTCCCCTTCATTCCCTGCAACTGTTACTCATCTTTATTATACAAATATTAGCCAACTCCACAATGAAATAAGAGGACCAGACTTTTATCCAATATAAATTTGTTTTTATTGAAGCAGCAGTCACATGACTTTATATCTAGCCTTTAGTTTAGGCCTGACAGTGAGCCAGCCCTAAGAAAAAAATGTCTTTTTGCACTAAAGAGACATTACATGTTTACATAACATCATCCAGTATTGGAAATGATCAAACTTAAACACATGTGTTGGTTACCTGGGAGGTACAGCCCCACTGTTTGTGGTGTTCATTTATTTTACAGATACTCCCAAAGACATTACTAGTGGGATGAAACTTAAGAGAAAATACAGCCACACCAAACCATGAACACAATAATCAAAGACAGCAGCTTATACATGTTTTTAAAATTTGTCCCTTTCAGGGTTGTGTTCTTTCTTTTCAAAGCAATGTCTGCAAAGCTTCTTCTACATCAAATCCAAAGGTTTCCAAGATGGAAGCTGCACCTCTCGGGGCTACACAATGGAGTAAGATCATTTGAAAGAACAAGAACTAATGTTCATATCTTGATTTTTAACAACAAAGATCCATGTGTCTCTAATTGGAGGAAAGATGGTGATGTGACTACATATTGCAGTGGCAAAATAAGCAAGGTGAGGAGAGCTGGGTACTGAAATAAAGACCACACACTTGTGAATTTTAATTTCATTTCCAGGCTAACCTACTTTTTATTTAATGCAAATTACAGTACCAGTTAACTATTTCCAAACCAAGTCACATAGAACGAAATGTATTTACAAGGGAATGGGGAAAGGGGGGAAAAAAAAACATTGAGCATACTTTTCACAAAAAAGTTTATATTTAAAATGAAAAAAAATCAGTCACAGAGGCATTCAAGTAGTAATAATGTTATACAGATTTTGCTTTTCCTTTATATCAAGACAGATTTGCACAAGTGTTTGCAATAGTTTGTATACAACCCACAGTCCTTTATATATATATATATATATGTATATAATAAATTTTGTTTAGATTTGTTTTAAAGATGGAAGTGGTCACGCTAATTGGTATGTGTACAGGCCCAAGTGATCCATCGGCAACACATTGATAAATGCAAATTTTACAGGCAAGCACATTTCATACATCTATCTGAATCTGCCTGTAGACAGATATAGTAAGAAAGAAAAATTAAAAATTAACACAAGGAAGTCTACTTTGTCAAGCTAACCCCTTATGTACTGGTTGTCATTTTGCTTTTATTGCAGAGGTGCAAAACGGAGCAACAAACTTGAACAAAACATCATAACCCTTGTGAAAATAATCCAAACCCCAGGGATTACTTCCAAAGCCTCTCAAATGTAGACCTTAGTCTGGGACTCTACTCTGCTTCTAGTTGTCTCTCTTATTTTCAGTGGCTCAGGTTTCTATCAGAAAAGACTGATTTTACTGTAAAGCATGCTTAATTTATTTTTCTACATAGGTGAGAAAGTGTTTGGCTCTGTGATTAGATGATCACTAACAAATACAACAAGAATCAGGTACAATTTTGGTTTAAAACAAAGAACCCCCCCCCCCGCCCCCCCGCCCCCAAGCTCCTGGGGATCTGGCATCAGCCACACTTCCTTTGGAAGATTCCAAAGTTAAATCCCTTAAAAAGGAAAGGGAAAAAAAAATGCCAGTGTCTTTATATCCACAGGGATAGAGAATATAATAGTCCTCTCAGAAACCTTTGCATTGGTGCAGACAAGATGACTGGTTAGGCAGGCTTTGTTAAAACACAAACCAAAAATATCTAAAAATTAAGAGGACTTTAAAAAATGACATGTCACTGGAAAGAAGGTGCAGTCTTCTGCCTTGCTGGAATGAACACACGATGTTTCAAAAATAGGAACCTTTGGTTTGGTAAAGTTTGTTTTTTCTTCTACTCAAGACATCTTATATGGAGTACTTGGAGGCAAAACAAACAATTTTGATTTTTTTTCAAAAAGGTCTTCATGATAGGTAGAGTAAGGAACTGATTTTTTTAAAAACGAAATTAAAATGACATTTCACTGAAAGGGGTGGAGGAGGTAGGAGGGTGGGAGGAGGCTCAGAGTTCCGGTGTTAAAACAGGAGTCCTCTCCTGGCTCGGAAGCACGCCATGCACTAACTGCTGGTAATCACACTACACAGCATTTCAGACTGTTGATTATCAAATCTGACACTATGAAGAAAATGATTTATAAAGTCAATTCTCTGTCTCCCATTTGTGAAGGCAGGAGATGAGGGGAGAGTGAACATGGACACCTGCTGCTTGTAAGACCCATGGTTAGGGTTTGAGAAAGAGATGAGCAAAATCTAACCGGTTGAAATCCTCCAGCTCTAGGGTTCCCTGGCACTACATAAGTCCCTGGATGACCCAAGTATGAAATGAAACCAGTCACTGCTACTGAGGAGGAAATGGGTGTTCAGAACCAGAACAAAGGCAGGGCTTGAGTGATATGAAATTATGAACGTGGTTTCCTGTTTCCACTCCAGAACATGGTATCACTGAAATTCACTGTGAAGGGCACAGACACTGTGTTATGAGTGAGCTATAATTTCAAAGGGAAAAGGGCAGGATAGGGAAACCAATTAAAATTTTAAAAATGAAAAACAAAAACAAAAACACAAAAACAAACAAAAAAAAACCCAAAACAAAAACCCAAACACATGGAAGCGAAGGCACTCCAAACTATATAGATACACTATACATTGCTAGAGTTATTGTTACAATAATACAGGCCGGTACCTACTGTACAGAGTTAAAACTATATGGCTTTAAAAAGCTCGTCTACATTTTTGTCTGATTATTAAACAGAATCACTGCCCTGAACAGTTAACTTTTTGCTCATTAATAACAGTTCCTGGGTCCACATATTTACATACAAAACAATAAAACTTAAAATTTAAAAACATTGAAAGAAAATATAATGTACAAGCTTGAATTTGGTGAGGAGCTTTTTATTATTAGTAGTAGTATTTACAAAAAGATATTCAGAGACCTGGATCTCACTTGTATAAAAGAGTTCTGTGATCCCGCCATGATCCTTGAGAAAGAAAAAAAATCATGCACCTCAGCCCTCACACA